CTCCTTGTTCATCGATGATGCTTCCTAGGTATGTGAAGGATTCTACATCTTCCAGAGTTTCGCCGTCAAATGTGATTGAGTTGGTGTTCTCCGTGTTGTATTTGAGGACCTTGGTTTTCCCCTTGTGTATGTTGAGGCCTACTGATGCAGAGATTGCTGCTACACTGGCTGTCTTTATCTGCATCTGTTCATGTGTATGCGATAATAAATCCCGAAACTTAACAGTTCTGTAAGTTTTCGACATTTGATGCTGACCATAATAGTTATAATCGACTCACCTCACTGAAAGCGCTCGATCACGCATCTGCACCAGATCACAAATGGGTACGCTATGCTCAACTCTTCGTACAACTGCTAGCCGGATTAGACCCGTCACTGCTCGATAGATCGTTGGCTTATCAAATACATCTTCGAACCTCTTTGGTTCTGACTTTTGATTTCACTTTTGACAATTTTCGATTCCTGGAGATGTTACTGGTTAAGGTGTTGTCGAGCTCCAAATACCTGTATCATCTTCAGTGGTAAACCCGGCATGATTTGCCACATCCATTTATGAACTGTGAACTTGTTTGTATCTGGAACTTTATATATCGTTTCTTTAATTTGATTTTTATATATTGTGATCTTTTCATATTTTAGGTGTTTTTCTTCTCCTGGTTCGTTCCCGTACTTCATATTCACTATGACGGACACCTAATGTACTTAATTTAAAGACATAACTCCACCTTCATTTCAATTAATGCCGTTTTAGCCAGACAATATCAAAGCCTGGTTCTGCTACGCAGAGGCTGACTTCTACAAGCACAGCGTGAACGACACACGTGCACAATTCCTCTCAGTAGTCAATGCACTACAGCACGTATTTAACAGGTACGTCGCACCTAGTATGTTTCCTAGTGAAGATTTGGGACCTTACAAATCTCTTAAACGCAGAGACCGAACCGATCGACAAAGGCTAGATCAACTCCTTAATAGTATCGTCCTGAAACATGGTTCTGGGACAGACATGTTGCTAAGAATGATTGAGGTTATCGGACAGAGCACTTGCGATGATGGCATATTTAGACACATTTTCATGTCTAAGCTTTCTCAACAGGTTCAGGCAGTACTTGTTTCGTTCCAAAACAACGCTGTAGACAAGCCGGCTGCATCTGCCGACCTCATTTTGAAGATCACCGAATCTTCTAATGCGGAGGTTTTTCACTGAAGTAAAATCTCAAGCGACACAATGATATTCGTGACAATGTCATAGTCCGGCACGTTACTTTCGTATTCGTCAGGATCGTGGATGATCATAAACTTATCGAAGGAGTACTTCAGAAAACGATCTGCATCTAGATCATGAGCGACATATAACCCTGATTGGTGCTGATATCCTATGTAGTACGGAAAATCTCGAAATTACAGAAAACCATGCAATTTTTCTAACCCCAAGCCGACCGACACGGAAAACGTTTCGGAAAAATTCCCAGCCTGCACGTGCTAAAGACAACCGCAGCCAGCGAACACAGTCATTTGTTATGTGTCAATGATGTGATAATGAAAGTTCGCTACCTCATCAACGCTGGCTTAGACGTTAGCGTTTTTTCAGAAAATCCTAACGCCGGACTGCACGAACCGATTATAAGAAGCAAACGGAAAACCTATCGCCATATATGGTAAACGGTACGTCTATCTTAACGTGAGTTTATGCAAACAACTTCACTGGATTTTCGTTGTTGCAGATGATTCTATGTCAATCACCGGCATAGACCTGCTACAACAGCATAGTTTACTCGTTGGCATGCGCAAACAGAGGTTACTAGACGGAAACACTAATTTATCTGTTCGAGTAACTTCTTTTTTCGGTTTTAGATTATCTCCCGCCACAGTTAGGCGCACGACAGATCCATTCTACCAACAATTACTCGATAAGTGCTCTGAAATATTTCAAACGCAACCGAAATTGCCGTGCGTACCCAGCGCCGTTACACATCACATCGTCACTACAGAACCATCTGTATCATCAAAAGCGCGCCTACTGGCTTCCTAAAGGCTGAGGTTGGCTAAAAACGGATTCGATAACATGATGGACCTAAAAGTCGTTCGGCCACCAAACAGTCCATCGACATCTCCCTTGCGCATGGGCGACGGCTACTGGCGTCGAGCTGGTGACTATCGGCGACTGGATGCGAAAACCATTCCCGATCGTTACCTGTTGCTCGACGTTCGCGATTTGACAGTTACCTTGAAAAGTACAGCTGCTTTTTTCGAAAACCGACTTGGTTAAAGCATACAAACAAATTCCACATGGTTGCTCACGACATTTGTAACACTCTTATCATCACACATCTCGGCCTATATGAGTTTTGTGCATGCCTAAAAAAAGGTTCTCAAAACTTCTAAATGTTCGTAGATTACGTTTTTCGAGGTTTCAACTTCGAACATGCATATGCTGATGACTGCTTGATTGCACGTCCGGACAATGAATCTCACCTCCAGCATCTGGATCTTGTTTACGAACGACGACGAAAGCATTGCATTACTGTGAACATTCAGAAATGCGAAATCGGAATCGATTCCCTAGATTTCCTCGGACACTATTGATTCTGAAGGCATCCAACCTCTGAGAAACAAAAAGACTCCCATTCTGGATTACCCAGAACTGACGACAATTATGCAATCATGCATGTTAAACGGTCTTATAAGTTTCTATACAAGGTTCATGAAAATCTGCGAGTCCAAACTTTGCGGAATTGCGAAACCCACCAATTTGGACGATACTGAGAGAAAAGTATCCTCTAGAATTTCAAGAATTTATCGCAAAAGCAACAAGGCTTGCACATCAGAACACTCAGGTACCCATTATTAACACAATAGACGCATCTGAAACAGAAAAAGAAGGAGTATTAAAACTATTATTATCGTTATTCACAAAAACCTTATTGGTACATAAGTGTTGTGAAGACACCATTTCGTGTTTCTTCAAAAATGCAATAATACACAAGTTTCCATAATGTTAGCACTATATTTGCCATATTTGAAAAAGAGAGTAATAATAATAGAATAATAATAAATCAGGTTTTGTGTAATTGAGACGAATATTGAACTGAGTTTAAAGAAGGAAAGGGAAAAAATAAGGGAATAGAAATAAAGGAGACGTGGAATGCGCAAATAGTTTAGTAGGCGTGTTTATGAACACAGAACATGAATAAACGACTATGTATTTATCGTCAAATAGAAGCGAAAATGAAATGGAAAATAATGATGGAAAAACTGTGTTAACCAGCACTGGCAACCTTTGGCATTGTTCTGTACGGTATCTTGATTTTGTGGGACCCTATGCATATTCAAATGGATACCCTTATCTCCCGACTTGAATAGACAGTTTCACTTGATTGCCAGAAGCAGTACCCATCAAGGACATTACTGCTGAAACAGTGGCCAACGCCTTCGTCAAGTGGTGGGTAGCAAAACCTGGCTGCCCTTTAACTACCACAACAGACAGTGAACGTCAGTTCGCATCTAGACGTTTCCGATATCTGACTACACCATTGATAATCACAAGATCTTCTTAACGACTGCCTACCATCCACAAGCAAATGGGTTGATAGAGCGCTTTTACTGACAGACTAAAGATCCACCCTCGGCCACAAATGTTACACAGTGGATAGACTCTCTTCCACTAGTTATACTCGACATTTGCACTGAAAGCTGACATTGAATACACTACAGCTCAAATGCTTTACGGAACGACACTCCGACCTCCAGGAGAATTCATGGATCCATCATCTTCGATGAATATGGATCTAAACTATTACACAAGCAGGCTTGTTGAACTTTGGTCTACTTCGTCATTAGTACAGCTCTAATAGTAGACTTAGCCCTGAAACTGTGGATTTTTCGTGATGTAACTACCTAATCGACAATATCTTACGTGGAAGTCACATCATTGTCTAAACGTAATTTAAGAATCACCAATGTATGATGAAGAACAGATTTAGATTGGAGGTAGAACAATATATTTAATACGGATAAAAAATAAACAGGAATGACCACATCTACAAGGTTGAGCCATGACATTCAATTAATTTATTTTCGAATGAATTTTACTGCGACCACCATTACTGAATTTCTCTTAGTGCTACGTGTTGAATATCTATTTTCCAAGTTTTAGGATTTAAGGATGATGGTAAGGACTCGATGCGCACCAGACCACAAGTGGCTACTCCGTGCTAAGAATATTCTACAACCGTTCGCCAACTCAGATCAAACACTTCTCGTGCTATCGATAGACTTTCAAATATAACTTTGAGAAAGTGGTGTTCGCATCATCGATTGATTCACCTAAGAGAATAACAGATACTTTTAGGGTCCTACTAAAAACAGATGGACACAGGTTGTAGGCCTTCTGTCCTCAAAGCCCAAAAATGAATCGTATACGTTTGAAACAGCACATCAGCTGTAGTAGTAGTCGCTGCCTGAATCTGGTGATATCTCCTAAGAAAGAAAGTTAGCGACAGAATTATTCACTGAAATGTTGTCTCCGACTCAATATCAGACACCTTTATCATGTATTCATTGTGTATTTGTTTGGATCAATTAGTACTTATCAATCTCATACTGAGGCATTTCAAGTTTGTTTTCGCATGTCGCCTAGGCAGGAGCGGATCGGTGGTGTAATATCTTTTGCTTCCCAACTGGCTTCAACTGTTGGACTAAGTGCACCGAACAATATATCTGACGTCAACATAGAGTTTTTCGAATCGATACTAGAGAAGATTAGTGACTTCAAAAACGATGGCAAGGGTGTTTCACTATGTTTTTAATGACTTGTAGCTACTTTAGATCATAAACCTCGATGGGATTTCCTGCTGCAATCATTATCTAGATTGATAGGGAGTTCGCTTGGTTATATATCCATAAGACATTTACGCATATTCGATCCCAATGTTTTATATAGTCTTCTTGAACTAATTGATCTATTGGCACAAAATACTGTTGTTCAGAAAGACTTTAGAATGGCAGAAGAAATCCATAAGAAAAGGCTGTAAGTCTAGTTCATCATAAAGTCTCACATATCCAAATTTAAGGTCATTATCGTGTTGTAAAGATGCAAAGCCTAATCTCCCTGTTTTGGGGGAAAGTTTGTCCATTCCGGGTAAAATTCGGTGAAACCGCAATAGAAATATTGGGGAAAGCCCAATATTCCCCCAGAATTTTATAACACTTTGGAGTTTTTTCCCATCAAACTTGGGGGATACTTCAACGTTTACCCAAAGTTTACCAAAAATATGTAGATTGGAAAGTTATCAGATGTAACAACCAAACATCCAGGTCTGGTCTGTCCTCAAAAACGTTTTACTGGTATTTAAGACTAGATATCATCAAAAGAAGTTCTGTCTGCTACTCACTCGGTAGAAAATTCAGAGAGAACATGCTAACACACTTCCTTATTTGAGATAGTATGTTTCATTACACGACGTGGAAGTTTACATACTTTAATATCTCTTTACGTGACGGGTTCGGACGACTAAATCAGTACATAAAATCTGGAAATAATTCAGTCTAATACAGATGAATTTTATCTCGAAATTGTTTCAATCGAATTTTATGTATGGTGTGTCAGGAGATCGTGATAATAAACCCAGCTTTGTAGTGGTATGTTGCTTTTTTAAAACGATCATGTACAGTCACCTACGTCTTTCTGTCCCCGTAAAACATTACCTGTAAGGTTCTGGTGTGGTAACTTGGACTTATATATATATATACCATGGCTCTCGAATTCCCTGGTACGGCCGAGAGTGAAGATAGTCAGCTCTCTCAAAACGCTCTCATATGGCTGTGTGCATACAACCACTGCCAGGGAAGTCCTACTCACTGCCTTCTCGCGGCGGTGTTTACGGAATTGAGAGGATGAGAAGCGGATGTCCAGCGCTTTAACGGGTTGGTGGACACGTAGGGTTCACCTAGTGGAGTCGGATAACCCTGATTCCAAACCAATGGTGCACATGAGCTTCAGGATCCTGAAGGAACAAATGGCGTGCGAACCAATTGTTGGTCACCGACTACCATGTGACTGTATCTCCTGACGTTGCTCCACTGCCTTATGGATTATACCTTTTAAGTCGAAGGTTCCAAGAGTGGTCCCTAAGGAAACCACGTGCTTTAGTTTGGGCACCCGGGCAGTATCCAGCCCTCACAAATCGAATGATTTATGTGGCGCATATTTATTTGGTGCATCCCTGTACCAATGTTTATGTGTTTAAATAAATAAATCCACATTACTTTAGACAAATTAGTGTATGCAGATGTGCCGTCTAATTTAATGGAAAGTAAGTATGATTCACACTCAGTCGAAGTAGAAAAATGTTTACTGCACCCGAGACTGTGACATATTTCCATTATATTTTTGATTAGTACATCTTATGATGTTACAGCATGTTACTTAATGTTTCATTTTGAATTGGATAAATCAGATAAGGATACAGAAAATTGGGGCGATGAAACTTTCTTTACCCAAGGGATCTGCCCATAATTTGATGAACTTTCAGATATATATTGTTCCCCCAATTCTTATTACCATACATGACTTCTAAACTTAATTAATTCTACGTATCTGTGCAGTTTATTTAGAGATAACTCGTGTTTCTTGCCAATAAACGTCCAGTTCTATCTCATATACTCAACACTACTTTTGAGAGTAGTAAATTCTATGGCAGAATACTTAATTTTACTCCACAATAAAAATAGTTATGAAGTATCTTTAAAATAACAAAACGTTCGAATTTTAGATATTTTTACGGTAGGAATCAATAACTTGTCTGGATTAGTTTCAAATGTTTTCCTTTTTTAGTCGCTTAAGTTTACAGGATTCTTGAATCCACTCCTGATTATCGACCCCATTTATCCATCTTACAAGGCAAAAGGTTGTCAGTGTTAATTTTAAACGATCTAATGGTGACATATGAATAGAATTCATGAGTACTTAGATATCTTCTATCTAAACAAACTTTAAGTAATATTAGTATAATGACAAACGTTTATGGATTTTATTTGTTATACGTTACAATACACTTGGAAGGACCATGAGAAAAAGTATGTCAAAATAAACGGAAAAGAGGAAAAAAGACTAAGAGTAGTGAAATTATGGATATTTGGAAAGAATAAACGCACGTGTATCACTCGTACCAATATTATCCATAAATTACTCGACACGTTTAATCCCAGTTGTAATAGTGTTATGCCATGATATATCTGCCCGCAGATGTTTAGGTCTGACTGCTTTATTTTGTGTTATATTATTAAGTAAAGTCGACTGAAATTCGGCCTGGATAACACAAAGCAAGTTATGGTTTATTTATATGTTCTTTAAAAAAGAGGTATTGAGTTTGTCGTCAGAAACCAGTTGGTGAGGATCTCTATTTGGTATACCAATTAGGTGACAAATCTTACATATGAAGACTATTCAACTCGCAGGATAGGAATTAATTTGTTTTTTCTGGTTGGCGATTTTTAACGTAGTTTTTTTTACGACGTTGGAATCATAACTATAATCTTAACTCTCCTCTTTTCGTCTGTGCTTTCGACTACAGAGGGGATCTAGTTACCATAGTGAAAGCACCGTATAAAGTTTTTTTTCAAATAATATGATCTTTCATTAACCTATGCTTGTTGATTAGTTACTGATAATAAACTGGCCACTTACTAGTTATTATTTTCGTCTTGATTTATTCAGAAATCCAGATGAATTGTATGGAAACGTGTCATGTAAACTTGAAAAACTTCGTAACTTATACTCTCATCAAAAGTCCTCACCGATTCTACTTCAGGAATCACAAAACAACTTTGAATCACGATCACACGACAACATGGAGTCTAAATTACAAAATATGGATAGAACTACAGAAGGTAGTAGCGCTAGGTTGGCTTATCTTCAAGAAAAACTTAAGACATGCTTATCTAGTATCCCGCTTGACGAAAATAGTTCAGAAAGTGATGGTGTGTCTGTACTAACTCGGTCAAACTCATTTCGTACTCAACAGGTAGATTTGCTGGATGTTTTTAAGTTCCGGTCAATGTGTTGTACGGTTTTGCAACAAATTTGTGTAGAAATGAAATATTAAGTCAATCAGGTTTTTATATTTTAGTTACTGCCATTCAAATTATGTTAGTTTTAAAATTAAAAAAGCTCAATACAACACCACATAGAAAATTTTGGTTCTCTGAATATACAGCCTTTATTTATTGTGTAGTGTCAGTCATTATTTTAAGCCCATATATCTTATTCTAGCTTTCGGACATCCCATTTTATTCATTCTACTTGAGCCATACTTTGAACTTGTTATTTATTCGCTTATCAATCTAGACTGTTTTTATATAAGCGTATATGTGTGTGCCCTTCTTATCCCACTAATCACATGTCTGTAGCTTTATTTTTGTCTGACTATAAATATTGAGTAACGCTTGACTAAAATGGAGTTGGCTTCCCAGCCATCTTCCCTGCGTGTCATTTTGCTTTGCTCTGTTTCATTCGCTTCATATACAAAAATATATGTATGCACAAATCAATTCTCGTTATTCGACTTATTTAATTCCGTTATTGGCTAACGCGATTTAAGTCGACGATTATATACGAGAATAGGCGATAACAATCATTCGTACGATCTAAATAGGAGTCAGATCCACGGGCCACTAAATTGGTGAGCCCTTCAACGAACATCGTCCGGTCAAAATGACGGCAAATAAAAGGGCCCCACTAAAATTGTTTCAGGTCAATGATTACTGACTATTAGTTTATCGAAAAACTGATACAGTTTGAAATAGTTTCAGTTATGAAATGAAGTGAGCTTGGGAAACAAGGTACACTGAAAAGCTGTTCAGCCGCCTATCATCACTGTGCTCCATTAACTTCACTAAGAACAGGACTCGTCCTTAAATCAAAATAATACCTGCAATCCACCAGATTATTTAGCAATTGTATTTATTGCTAACTTGTTACGAAAGAAGTGGCTGGAGGGTCCCATCTAGGTCTGGAGTGGTGGTTTTTTGCCAATGACATCAAATAACTGTTACGTTAAATCATGGATTAGTTGAAGTCCAAAAGGTGGATCACTGGATTCTAATACAGTGGCTTGGATGCTACGTGTCATCCCTGGTGAGTTTATATGTACGGCTAACAAGGTCCAGACACAGCAGGGAAACGTATTTGGTCTTCTTTAGTTTCAGGCTGCCGTTTGGTATACGTCAGTTTGTGACTAAAGATACCCTTAAATTAGACTAGCTTCCACAAGTTATCCAGACAATTTAGAATAATCTTTGCTATGTTAGGTTTTTATCAATCTAAAAGTGATTATTTGAAGATTAATCGCTTCATATAATCATAATTTCAGGCCATTCATATACTATTTAAAATAATTTCAACCGTATAACCACTAGGTGAAATATTAGTGTTGTAATCTAAGAAAATATACATTTCAATGATAACCAATTGGTGTCATTTTCAGTTTGTAATTTCATAAATTGATACTATATCACTAAACCTGAAACCTTTTAAAATGTACTAACTTCTTGTCGGAGAAATGACTTAGGTGGTTTTCAATGCACAGAAGTGATACTAAATTTCCGCTTTATCTTTGACACATGTAATGCGCTTTGGCAACTACATACATTCCACAGCCTGCCACTGAGTGTAAGTAGAAATCGATTTTTCAAATATAACCAGTCTAACAATCTGGATAACGAAATTGTTAATAAGCTTTCTATTTTGATATGGATAAGCAATGACTTCTGGACTTAAAAACTGAGTACATACATGACAATAAGATAAACAAGCTTTCTCTGACAATATAAAACTGACTCAGGATCAGAGTACTCATTTGTCAATCTAATCAACACTGAGGTTTAGGCACTAAAGTTTTCTGTCAAACTAAACAGAAAAAGTAAACATGTACCAGATTAGTTGTCTATCACTTTTTGTGCTTGTATTTAAATAAAAGCAATACATGGTAATAAGTTCTAAGTCCCGAAATAATTGTATTCATGAGATCCAAATTAATACCTGCTCACATCTAACCTCTTAAAGTTAGGAGGTTCATACTAGTTGTTTTAAAACCTGGGTGCCAAAGATAAGTATATCATTCTAGCTGGTAGTATGAGAGAACCTGTGCAGCACTTATATTTGTTTAAAGCTTTATTCACCATAAATTTATTTAAATCCATTATCAGAATTTGTTTTATTCCTTCCTAAAATGTAATCTCAGTTAAAACGTGCTTCTTCTGACAATTGTAACTGCAGCTGCAAAAGTGTACTTAAATTACATGCCAAACCTTTAGTGGATACATTGCATATTTATGCCGATAAGCATTCAACTGTACCATACCTTGTCAGTCCTACTAAAGAAAATGAAGACCTGTCCAATCAATTGTTTTATAAATTATTAAGTGGATTTCCTAAAATAGATTTAGATGAACATGAGGAGCGGATTTTGCGCAAAAAGGCATGTAAGTTGAATTTTTTGAAGACAGGTTTTCACTGATGAGATTTATATCTATTGATAATAGTAAATTCTTACTTAGTCATGATAAAACAGCGTCTTGTTAACTGTTCAATGAAATAGTTTTTGTAGTAAGTATCAGGATTCCATATGAATTTTTAATGAATAACTATTCGAATGAAACTTACTAATCACTGTCATAGGGAGAGGTGAGTTGAAGGTGTTACACTAAGCAATTTTTTAAAACAATGAGTCCAGATAACTGGTATTACTTCACTAGTTAGCCTTAGTATCACAATTTTATTTTCTGTATTATTGAACCACAATTTATTTTAAAGTGTCGTATGTCTGAGGCGTTCATATTTGCTTGGGGAAATGAAATTTTTGGAATGACATAAGACAATATGCATAAGTATTTGTCATCTTATTCATTGTATATCTTATTGATTATAATTAGGTTTATGTGCTCTAAACTGGCTAATACGTAGTCGATGGCTTATTAGAGTGTTCTCGCTATCTATCTGACATATTTATCGATCTTATACTAATATAATCCTTAAAATATTAGCTTTTGTAGTCATTAAAGGCGCAAGTGGAGCTTGGAAAAAAGCGAACGTAAAAATATCAAGCAGTTTTTGGGTTGAATCCTTATTCTTCTCAGGTTTTGAAGCTTAAGAGTGGTCTTGAGTGCTCATCTTGTTGTGTTAATGAGGTATGACAACTTCAACCGATGCATAAATGTGCATGGTCCTAGGTTGTGACCGACTGACTTCGAAGCCTAAGCATACTTGATGACACAATGATAGTCATTTTCCTTCATTTGACCTTACTGATTTACAGGTTTTTGATAGTTTATTTTTATAGGGGATACTAAATGACTAAATAAACTTACAGGAGAGCCCTTACTTGGTCACTGTTGATTCAAGTTCAATTTACAGGAGAGTGTCATTGTAATAGTTTACTCCAAGTGGTATCCGCCAAGACTGCGCATCATTCCCCTTTTAGTTTACTTTCGTCATGGATGTTCTCTTAATGATGACCACCGCAACTCTTACCTAGAACCACTCTCACAGAGATAGAGTACGCAAATAAAATATACATCTGAAACCTGGATTCTTGAAGTTGAGAATTTTCGGTAAGTGCTTGTGTTTGGCCATCGTAGTCTCTGAGGGATTTCTCACGTTCGAGGTATGGTACAGTAATGGCAGTTCAATCAATGTTACAATTTAAATAAAGGGAACTAATTGCACGATGTTACTATCTTGAAACACTGGCTTCTGTTATGGCTTTATGTCCGGCTTTTTATCACGTGATTTATCCACCAAATCAAAATACGACTTATACAATCGTAGCACTGTGCCAAAACCAATGACGTTCGACCGGTATGAGCAGCCTAGCGTCCTTATTGGTCCTATGTCAGCCTAGCCCGTCCATTTGAGTCCAGAACAACAATACCAGCTTCCAATATGCGAATCATATTATTTCAAACATACTGTGTTTATATATCAAACAAATAAACCGCAACGCACCATGAAATAGGAAATAACATTTGTACACAATAAAGCCAAAAAGTAGCTGTGAACGTGGGAGGCAGTAGTTAACAAACTGAGCATAATTTAAGGACATTAAATCGCATAATAATAGATTATAGGTCAAAATGAAGCTTATAATAAGAGGGATATAAATATACATAATCTGACTATTGAATAATTATACAATAAGAATATTAGTCCATTAATAGTCCTCAGAAGTCACCTGTAATTTAATATCCACTAGGATATAACAGCTTCTACTGTTTAAACATCCTGTACGTCATTCTAATGGGTTTTAAACTGCTCATTATTTGATGATTACATAACTGGGTACGAAACTCAGAGGATAAGTCTGTTCACAAAATATAAACATATATAGCATTAGTGTCTTCTGCCCATCCCGAATTTCTGGCTGGAGTCGTGCGTGTCATGGAACTTGGTGGCTTAATAATTTACTTGAACTCTTTGTGTAAGTAAAATGAATCCTATACCTGGGCGAAATTAACCTCGGTTATTTTCTTTTGATAAATAATCTCATTAGTTAGTTGATTGTGTAACCTTTCTGTCCCTTCACAGCGTTATCAATTCACTTACCGTGCTCCTATTTCTTGGCTCTTCATTTATGTCATATAAACAAGTGGAAAAATAATTGGTCACATTAATGCTCTCAACACAAATTTAGTAAACTCTTGATAATTAGATTTGGTCTCCTGAAAAATTCTTTCAAGGTATAAAGGTCATTGGTTCGATTTCATTCAAAAGATTATAATCCCTACTTTTTATGAAGTTCCAATGAATTTGACCTGAATTATTTCAATCAAATTGAACTGTAGTTCGAACCACTTCAACACTAAGGAAACTCAACAGTTGAGTGAAATGTCTAAATTTTCCTTAGTTCAATAGATAAAAATACCTTTGGATGCTGATTTCATAGCCGGAATCCTCATGTCTATAGGCTTTACAATCCTCTGAAGATTTCTGTAAGCTCAGTCAGGAATTACCAAACACTGGTTTCAGTTTAGCGTTTCATGAAATACAAATATACTTGATACTGGTTATCAAAATGTTATGACCTTGATCTGTGTACTCTAGATTAAGACCTTGACGCAATGGGCTGGTCGGTTTAACCTTGAGGCCAGTACGTGTGAGTTCGAGGCGGGGTAGAGAGAAGAAAACTATTCTGTTACCTGATTGGCTGACAAGCACGGTAACGAGAGAAGACAAGACAATTGGAACACTATTCGCTCTATTCCGATATACTGACTTCCCGTGAATTCTCTGAATTCAGACTAGTGCAAAAAGGTACATGAATAAATAGGTGATTAACCCGACCACAACGTACAATAATTTGGAAAAATAAGAGTATGCACAAAACTGGGAATTAGAGTAGAAAATAAGGTGCAAAATATTATGTTTAAATTACAATGGCTTCGGAACAAAAAAGGGTATGGCAATGAATGATACATCGAACGAAAGCTCATGTTCTGTAGAATATATTAGGGACAAAAATAAATGTCAATGTTTTACAAGCTTTGAATAAAATGAAATAACGTCCCGAAAAATAGGTTTCATAGTTTGTCAGGGCTTCTTGTTTCCCTGTTCACACCACAAAATCTTTAGACTTTGACAGAGATTAGAAATGACTTGTTTGACTTAAGAAAGAATGGTAAATTTTCGATTGGTTTTATAGCAACTCCCTTACAATCAAATTCGGTTATGGTTAATTTTGATTATGCCCTTTTATTAACAAACAATGCTATTCGAATAGTAACAATTCGCATCTTTCTTTGTGTTATTATGATCACTACCATATCTGTATAGACATATACGCTTGATCACATGACAGACTTTAGCCGAAATGTTGATCGCTTAAATATCACTCGATGATTCATTCTCTTCCCCATGTATATATGCACTCAAATCCTATTATTAGCCTTTGTTTTGCCTTGCTGTGCCCTTATTCGATTTGGCTATAAATTCGTCTTCGTATCGGCTCGCACACACATATTTATCTCTCTGCTTCATATACACTTGATGTGCTTATAGCTTTGTGATCTGTGCTATCCGCTAATAATCTGTAGTTACCGCTTCTTATTGCTTTCTGATATCAAACACCATGGGATTTATATAATAACGGTTACAAAGGTGATTAATTAACGAAGCAAAACCAATACAATCTAAATGCCGATATTCAAAATAATAATTTTATATATTCTGAAAATAATTACAGAATTCACGCCAGTTTAGAGGCATGGTCAATTTGATATAAATAGTAACATTAGATGTACAGTAATTGTTTAGGTAGTACATATATTACAGCGATCCAATGCATCAGTCGGGAACTTTTTATACTTCTTAAATGGACAGCCTGTTGATTTATGAACAATGTAATTAAGGTCATTTCCTGTGCCAGATCGAATTAATGATAATTATCTACAACTACAGAAAGTAAAACGAGAACAGAGAGCACGGAACAACAAATCAGTAATTACCAAAATGTCAATCAGGTCTAACAAAATGTATGTGACACAGTGATATACTGTTGTTAGATATTATTCAAATTAGTTAAAGTTGCTAAGGACGGTGTTGATGTAAAGCGACGGCAAGTAAGTGCACTAATAAAAATGGCTAAACATTTAAAGTTCCTATAATATCACTTGTGGAATGAGATACACTTACAGGTGCTAGAACATTCAATGGATCGATACAGCGAAAAAATAATGGGAGTGGTTTTATCGTATGGATAGATTGTGGTAGGTTATTCCAGAGTCTAGAAAATTTACAGGTGAAGTAATTCATATAAAGAGATGATTTAGAATAAGTTTGTTTCACTAGTGCCACGGAATTACGGATGTCATAATGAGAAGTTTCTGCATATTGAATCACGTGATTGGATGTAAAGGATAGTTTATTAAGTAGTTTGAAGAAAAAGATAAGATTTAGTGAGTCTACTCTTCCATAAAGGGTTCAACCGAAGTTTGTTACATCTAGAATTATAAGTTAAGGTACAATCAGCTCCAAGAATACGAAGTGTAAATCGTCCATGTACCGATTCCAGCCTTAATTTATCCTTTATGTGCGCACTGCTAATAATAAACGTGCAATATTCTAGAAGTGGTCGGACACAAACTTTGTACATTAAAATACATGACTCAGTGTTGTAAAGATTTCGAGTTATGTAACCTATTAGACGTTGAGACTTAGAGGTCTGTTTCAATATCTGTTCTGTAAACGACAAGTCTTGGGAATATCTAAGTCCTAAATTTACTACTGTATGCAACCTAGATAACACTTCCCCATTTATGGTAAGGTCTAGGTTGAGTGATGTATCGCCGAAGCATATCCATCCACATTTAACCGTATTAAGCTCCAGTCGCCATTTTAAGCACCACTGTGCTACCTTGTTAAGCTCCATGCTGATGCAATTTTGCATATTTTTCAGCTCATGTGGAGAAAATGAATATACTACTTTAAGATCATCTGCGAATAGAAGGGGCTTACGGACACAAAAACTTTCACAAATATCATTGATAAACACTAAAAAGGGCAAAGGGCCTAAGACAATACCTTGTATTACACCACTTCTAACAGGGACAGCGTTAAACAATGAAGAGTTAATTTTAACTATTTGATGTCGATCGCTGATAAAAGAATCAAATCAAACCAGCAAGGGATTTTGAACCCCATAAGATGCGAGTTTACCTATAAGAAGTTGGTGGCTAACCCTGTCAAAGACTTTAGAAATGTCCAGATATAGTACTAAGACTAGATATCCTTGGCTACGTAGAGAATAGACTAAATTGAAGAAGTCAAAATGACATGTCATGCAAGAACGAGTTTTAAGAAATCCATGTTGAGTATCATTGATAAATTTTCCAGCAAGTAAGTAGTTGGAAAGTTCATCACTTATAATTCTTTCCAGAATTCTAGTTAGTAATACATTAGTTCTTATGGAAATTTTATATTTCAAGTGTGTTAATGTCGCTCTAAGAATCGTAATTACTACTTATTTTACTACCTTCCTTTACTACTCGACATCGTGCTCTAAAAAATACCAACCACGCTTATTTTCAACTTTGTTTCGTAAATTGGTCACTGAGATTCTTTTAATACCTGTGATAAATTGTTTTATAATTTGCATGTTTAGGGTTATTTAGATAATAATTTTTCACTCGTGTTTACGTCACCTCAAGTAGTAAAAGCTCCTTTTAACATTCACTTGGTTTGGATCTATTTCAGTACTACTATTTGATTTCTATAATCTTAAGTTTAAAGTGCAGCAAAAATCTGTATTTTTCTACTAATACTATTACTACTGCCATAGTACTTTCGTGATTTTGAACTTACAATTTTTTAAATTATTTCCTTTTCAAACACAAAGTAAGCGTAATGAGACAGCTTTCAAGCAATCCCTCTTCTGGTCTATCTCCCATACATGTTCCTGAATCTCATTCACAAAATATTGAGGAAAGACAGAGACGTCGTCTTGCACAGTTAGTTCATTATGATCGTCAAATTGAAAACCTCAGAAAACAAAGAGCAAGCGAAACCGTCGAGAGGCGTATCCGGGGAGAAGCGAGAGAGAGAAAATTCCAATTAATTAGAGCTCGGAAATATTTCGACGAATTTGTCCGTGAATTCCGTCTGAAAAAAATTGCCAAGGTTAATACTGATGAAAAGGTAGTTACAGAAGTCAATAAGACGTAGTTTCTTTACAGCTTAATTTCATACACTATCTTAGTAATAATTCTAAGTCAACTAAAATTTATTTAAAGTCATTCCACAAGTTCTGGGATTTATCAGATGACTTAATTCATTCATAATTCTCAAGTCAGACCGTTCGGGTGAGTGTTATCGTTTTCTCAATTATCTATCCCTGTGTCACTCAAATCCGTGTATTGAAGCAATATTGAAAACCAGTTGACTAAGACTATACAATGGATATGACTAATAGTGGATGAGTGGTGGCAGAAAACGAGAATAACAGTAACGGCTTCAAATATTTAAAATTATCACAGAAGTTGGTTTTAGAAAGAGGATTTGCAAAACTGGTATTGAGAGTAGTGCAAGATTAACGGACAATCAACGTAAGCAATAATAAACATGAATAAAACACTATGAAGTATTTCGTTGATGTTCATCCACCTTCCGTTTATAAATTAACACTTCAAAGCACTAAATGTAGGGTCCTAACGAGCTGTGCTGGATAATTTTAAAAATGATGGATGCTTTTGTGACATGCGGTGTGCGAGATCTGATACACTGATACATTGTGTGCTACGCGCTAACCTCCCAACTGACTACTTGGGCGAGAACATAATTGTGAGCGGGTAAGTGTATTGGACTACCGAATAAAATGCACAAATACTCATCCATATATATAACACTCTAATCCTTAGGATATTGATCTATTTCGTAGTCAATGAAATGCACATGTCCTTTAGGTTACTCCTGCTCGCCATCTATTAACCTTCTCATTAGGCTACTTCTAATTGTCTCTGCATATTATTCTCTACAATTCTTCCAGCTGAAGTGTATTAGTTGTGTTCCGTCCAACTCATTCAGTTAGTCATATGTACGTTGACCCTCTGGCGCATATGCGCATTTGTTTAAGTTACCATACCATATTAACACAGAGATATGAAATTACCAAGCCAAACCCCAGAGTAGTTGAGGTAATAGCAGTGTTCGTCGCATTAAGAAAGAAAATATATAAAATTTCGAGATCCAGGAACTAATTAGTCTATAAATACTATAATAATAGTAGTAATTTAACACATTTTATAAGTTTCAAATTAATTTTATACGGTTCCGATTACTCTGAACCAGTAAAAAATTCATGTTATAATACATGTACCTAGCTTTGAGAGACAATTTCGTTATGTTAGATGTAATGATACTACAAAGTTGTTCAAATTAAATTAATTCAAATGTGATTTGAGTCTTCATCTAATTAGTTGACGATCAAGTGCTTTAAATAGTCAGCCGCTTCTCTTGAAATAACTAAATCGTTACATCAGTAATTTTATTATCAGTAAAATAAACTTATGCTACACAGTTGTTTTGAAATACAAGTAAATAACATCGGCTATTTCTGTCAAATCAACCTACCACATATGTATTGGGCCTTTTCCACAAATCATAGTCTTGCAAATTATAAAGTTCACTCACACTGAAAAGCTTAGAAAATATCCTGTATTTTTTGTTGCCTAGTAATAGAACCAATATTTCATATTCTCCTATAATGAACAAGAACACAGGCTGGGACAACCAGTCGCATCCAAATACGTAATTACAGAATTTCTTGATAATGTATAGGAACCATACACTGAATACTTCATTAGTAATTTTCCATCATTTGTCCTTCACATTATGCGTGATTCTTCCAGTTCACAATTCCTTTCTGTTGTCTTCAACTCGATCTTCTGCCAGATTTTCCACTTGCAATTGTTGTTATATACTGCTCACGTCTATTGACATAATTAGCATACAACACACTAAATCTTTCATGTTAATTTATGTTGATTTTCAATTTTTATTTCAGATATTTCGGCAGTTTTTTCAGCAACTAATTCAAAAGCAAAAAGAATATTTTCTTGAAGTAAAAAAACTAGAACGTGAAGAAAATCTCCAAAAAGAAGAACAAAAAAGGAAAATTATGGAATCGCTAGAACATGAGTACTAGCATATTTTTATTTTCAACTCAGTTTAAAGTTTATGATATTAGTTGTCAGTCATATTTCAAGGTTGATTACTAAGATACTTATGCTTATTAATCATAAGATATAAGATATCTTCATTTATTTCAAAGTTCAAGCTTATCAAAGAAGTATTTCTTTCCAATTAGTTCCTCATCCTAGATGTACACTAATATGTAGATTTTTTAATGAATTATAAATCAATGTCAAATAAATGATGGTGTATCAATTTGAAAGTTTATCTCAATATTTTCTCTAAAGGTAACAAGCAGTTTGGTGCTGAACAAACATAAAGATAAAATGAACTTGCATTATTAGTTGAGTATTTATGTAATTTTGTTTTAACATTAATTTTACATCCATTGAGTAAGTGACTGTGACTAACTATCTTTAGAAAAAATATAGTGATATATTTCTGAATTGATATACCACTTTTTTTAGGTATATATTTTATACTTAATCAAACTTGCGTACCGGTTGATATGACGGGCGGTTTACAATCTTTTTTTTCCTCTCACACGCTTATTACGATGATACGTTAATAAGACTAATCACATTATACCAGAACCAGGTTTCGCTACCCAAAATAGCAGTCACACACAGTAGAAATCAATGATAAGAAGGAAAATCACATATTTAATAGTCTATGAGCTGTGGATATTTGTCTACGCTCAACGACCAATTATAATTTACTTTCACTACCACACATCACCAGTGTAGAGCTGTTGGTAAGGTACTAATTTAAAATAAATATTACTGTTATATACTAACAAGGAATAAGTGAATGGTAATTGCTAGGATCTATTTATGGATTGTTATTATATAGATATTTTTACTATATATCTATGAAGTGACAATATTATATGTATATTCATATATATTACCAACGCTGAATTAACTACTATGAATCCGGTGTTCATCTTGTGTTAATTAGGTATGGCAACTTGGACTGATGCAAATGTGTGCATGGTCCTACGTTGTAGTTGACTGACTGATATTCATATTCTTTTTATTATAAGCTTGCATTTAACCTATTGACTTCTATTATACGATTTACTATTCTTAAGTTAGTCCCAAATTTATTAGTTACAGTCTCACAATCACAGCCACTTTTGGCCTGATGTTGTATGATTGTTATAATCTATTTTATGGTATGATGAGGTCTGATTTGCTTGTATCTAAACTGCGTATGTCTGATGTACATCTTGGAGGTTGACATTGGTGTTCTGGACTGAACCATCTATGTTAGGCGAGAAGCTAGTATTTCAGAGGGCTAATAAGAACTCAGAGTTGACTCTAGGCTACTCGTACTGGTTTGTGCGTTATTGGTTTGGCACAGTGCCAAGCTAATATAAGTTGGTGTTCCGTTGGGAATCATATCACGTGGTAATTAACAGAGCAAAGGTCACAACAATTACTTCACACAACTTCTATTTTGAATGCGTTCATAGGAATATTTTAAAAACTAGGGATATTTTTTCAATGCATTGAACACAGATGGCTAAAGTATCAAGGGTTTATGAAAAATTAACACGTACGATTGTTGGTAGTCATCGTCACTTTTCTACACTGTGGAACAAGAGGATATGTTGCTTCGATGGTAATGATTATGTTAGACTCCAATAATGAAACAAATTTCCTAGGTAACATCAGACAATGATCTTAATTAGATAACCATTGAAAAACAAAAAAACACTGGATAACTTTTTCATCCTAGTATGAGACTGATTGGCAATGCATATCCAAGACCCGGCCACCTAAGATCTAACTCAGGGCCTTCAGATCTTTCTACAAGTATCTTACTTTTAGATCACTGGATGGGCTATTTTATGGGGATTCGTTTTCATGAATATAATTGAGGATTTATTTATTTACTTTAAAAGTTACTATCACTTTTGATTTAACTTTTTTTGACAATTTTATGTCTATGAAAACCACAGACATCGTATTCGCTTAGAATTAATGAATGAAAAGATAAATAAAGAAAGAGAAGAACAATCGATTCGTATGCGTGAAGAACAAAAAGTACGCCTGAATTCAAATGTATACTTAGTCTATCATGTAATTTAATATGTATGATATAACCAACTGTAAGAGGGGTAATGCTTTTATAAAAAATCCATTATCCTCATGCTATTTCTTACTTTATAAGCTTTTGTACTGTTTCTGAACATTTTGACTGAAACTTAATTATTTTTCAAAAATATAATATTATGCTTATTTCCATACGCTATAGTGAAACGATGTTCATTGTGTTCTAAGTGTGTTGTTTTAATCAATCGTAGATCTGGTTTACAATCAGTATTGTTATGATTGAAATATTCGTTAGACTGTATTGATGACAAGTTGGTTTTATTTCTCTGTATATCAGGTGATGGAACACTTTCATTTATACGAGATCATTTAAGTTTATTGAGCTCTTATTAAGAAAAGTATTTCAGTCGCTTTAGCCATTATAGGTATCAATGCTAGGGTCGGACATGATGGTTTCTAATAAACTGAGCATTGGGTAGATAATTAATAATAAATATATTTTTTGTTATATCCCAGTGAGTAGAAATATTGTATTTCTGACGTTTCGTGACCTAATGTAAGCCACTTTTTCAAAGTAAACAAACAACCGAATTGAATTGACAGTACAACAGTCAAATTTCTTCATGATTAAACCATCAAGTCTACAGAATGCAAAATCTTTCACACTACTATCGTTCTATTCAGTTTCTTGTAATTAATAATGAAAAACTGATTATAATCGATCGCTGTTTACAAACCGATTCGACATTTTCAATAGTAGTAGCTCAAACATTTGTTATATTTTGATGATGATAGTTTGTTTTATATCAACTTAAATAAATCTTTTATTTATTTACTGATTTTTTAGGTTCTCAGAGAAAATAAACGGAAATTACGCCAACAACTGGAAATGAATCTACGCGAAATGCAGGAAGCATTTTTAAACAATCGAGACAGTGTTCATTTTAGGGAGCAAGATGCTAAAATGTTATTAGCATCAAATAACAATTTTTTATGTGACATTAAACGAACCATGTAAATAGTAAAGACACGTTTTTGTGTTGAAATAAGTAATTTATATTATATACCTTTCCATTATTAACTTTTTGTCAACAGCTAAAATTAACTGTGATCAAGTGCATGACGTTTATTATCACTTCATATTCTAATAGGCAGTTGAGATTTTCAAAAATGTAGGAAGACTAAACGCAAAACCTTGTTTATCGTAATTTTGTATCCTTGAATAATTATATTCGTAGAACAGTAGCTTAGTGGTTAAAGCACTTGACTCCTACCTAATGGGTCGCAAGTTCACTATTACTTGGGTTTTGGACAAATGGATAGTGTCATAACTGAAAGAATATTATAGTAGTTGGAACTGGATTTCCAGATTATTATTAATGATAATTTTGTTGTGTAATTACCGAGTAACTAGATTGTTATGTATATGTATTTCTTTTATTATAAGCTTCCAACTAGCCCGTAAACTACTAACATACGACTTAATATTCTTATTTTATTGCCTATCTATTATTGTCTCCCCTATTCACAGTCACTTTTGACCTGTTTATGTATAATTGTTATTTCCCATATTATGTAATGCGGTCTGGGATTTCTGTATATAAACCACTTAGGTCTTGAATATAAATACAGTAGAGGCTGGTTGCTACTTCTGGACTCACGGCTGGGCATAGAGACGGGCTAACAAATAATGGGCCAATAGGAACCTAGCTACCGAATCAAAGATAATAGTACTGGTCGGGGGTGTAATTGGCGAAGTCAGAGATACTATCCTGTAGAGTAAGTAACGGATCAAATTAGAATTATGCCTCCGATTAGTGACTTGGCACATGTTAATGATCAGTGAGTCTTCAAGAGATAACAGATAGAGTAATCAGTAGAAACGGATTGGGTTGCTTAAAGTCGAGTACATGAACCTACATTAGACCATAATGTAACTGGATCATCTGGTTCCAAATTATAAAAGCGAATCAATCATCAGTGTTCTGAAATACTAGCACTCATTATCCTCCTACTTTTAATGGAACTTTCTTTGAACTACAACTGTCCATACCGCTTCGCAATCTGATTGTACTAGACTTATCTAGTTCCTATTTTGGTTTGGTTACTTTTATGCAGATTTATATCACTTTGTTTTGAACTGTGTACAAAACTGACAGTTGGTCGTAATCACGAATTTCAGTCTAATCATGTTGTTAACAGAATTTATACAACCCTTTATTGTTATTATTTGCACTAAATAACCTAGTATTAAAATCTTATGACATTAACATGCTCACTCAGTATTCATATTTCCACACGAAATCAGTCCCTAAAACGTTAGATATATACAGCCTGATAATACATTTGTCGAATAGAGATCCCTTCGGTGAATTACGTGTTTTAAATGCGAATTACAGATATATTACATTGAGGAGAATTTGTAAACAAAGTGTATGTTTTAGTAAATTAAAGCAAATAAATTGCCGGTTAACATCAGCATCAACATAATTGACCAGATACATATAATCAAGAATTATATCTGACCATATTCGGCAAATTAGATTCGTTCACCACTACCTAAAGGGTTATCAGAACTAAATCGTCTAACCGCTTAAGGAACAAGATTTTTTATTTCTAATAAGCCAACCTGATCTCAATTAAAATGTAATAGCCATTTCAGTGATCTGGTAATCGTGTCTACCTTCATACAGTAAGTATTGATCAGTGTAATACATAAAGTTCGATGCAGTCATAACAACGAATGTAAACTCTGCAGTAAAACTAGTGTTCACTCAGAAATACACATTTTCCAAAAAAGAGACAAACAATACACCGAGTCTGACGCAGATGTGCGTTAGCGAACCACATTAGGATGACGAAATAAATATAACGAGGTGAATATCAAACGAGATTGAAATAATGTAGTAGCAATAATAATGAGGATTGAGAGTTGAAAATATGGTTCGAAAAAATGGAGTCGGAATGTATTCATAGATGAACGCTGCATTCCAAACATGCCTGAACTTTTGCTCAGTGTGATCACAAGTCTGCACCTTGCCAGCGTTTTTATAACTATGTAGTCTACGTATTCTAATTCAACAGGTGGACCTTCTGGTAGACTAATCGTTGAAAAGTCAGGTGAAGGAAGTATTAATCCTACCAGTACATCTAGGATGAAGTTAGATAGAAAGAGGGACAGTAAGTAACCATGATGAACACAATTAAACATTGAGAATTTTGATGATAGTTCGCTAATAAGATCCGATTTGACCAATAGTATCTGGATAGAGAACCTCCGCAAGTTTGTGTACATCTTTCGTATGCCTTTCAATGACAGACATTATTAAGGAACCTACCGGTCAGCAGAGTCAAATGGAGCCCTGAGGTTGAGAAATACAGCTATAGTTGGGTGTCGGCAAGAATTCCCATGCTCTAAATCCTGATGGAGTGTGAATATTTGGTTGGTACATTAAAGTCTCGGTACGAAACCAGTCTGGTTTACTCATTACGAGCCTTAGTTACGCTTCAAAAGATTATAGAGGATAGTATTTTAGAAACTATACCAGTCGGATTGATTCTTCTGTAGTTATCAAACTAGAATTTTTGTCCTTTCTAATTAGGTCTTAAAATTAAAGGAAATCACCATCACAGTAGATACTAGCCTTGTTGAAATCCAATAGATGAATTTGAAACATTTTTTAAAATTACAAACTCGAGACCATAAACTTTTCTGAATTTTAGTACAGAACCCTAGTACAACGTAGGTTGATCTAAAATCTAGTTGCTCAATAATCGGATGAAGGATATAACACCAAACAGATAAAATCTTCTTTTTGGCGTCTGGCACCTCAGTAGATTATTTTACCATTTTGAGAACATAGATAATGAGATCGATTTCTGTTATACGACCTGGTTACCGATGTTGGTAATGTTACTGCTTATACCACTCCGCGGTCTCACTGTCCTGGTGTGATGTGGCAAATCGAACTGATATACGTAGGTGCCAAGTCCTACCTTGCTTATGACTGACAACTCTGGGATCTCACCGTTTTGGTATCATTTAGCAACTTGAACCGATATAGATAGGTGCCAAGTTCTACGTTACTTATGACTGACTATAACTAATGTAATTAACGGAGCTATATTTGATGACTTATACAATTTGACCATAACATTGTAACATACCATGATTTGGCTAATCAACGTTCAACAATATCATGGAACTCTAAAAATTAATTTTATAGATACCACATAAAGATTGGATCAAGTTAATGAATATTATGGAAAAAAGGAGGAAATCAGAGCAATATTAAAATCAAAAGAATTGAAAAATTGCAGTAAAAATCCATAACAAAAGTTAATTATTCAAACATGTCAAGAGAAATGAACAGAAGTAAAAGTTAACTACAATTTGACTATTTATAAAGTTGTCATATCAAATTGTGATATTACTGTTCAATGCTAAAGAATCTTTGTATGAGTGAATTGCTGGGTCAACTTCAGTGTCTAAGAATACTTCCACCTAAATATTAAAGAAATGAAGAAATTAAATAGTTAGCTAACAAAGTCTAGACAATTCAACTTCTATTTTACCATCATTCTGAATGTAAACTAAAAAAATTATTGGCTGGTGAGACGATATATCATTTAGTTATATTGACCTTGAAAAGACTGGTGATGGAATAAGAGCATGTAGAAAATGTAAAGAAAAATGTGAATTGTAGGGCCTTCCCGTCTGGTCTGTCTCTGTGTCACATGAATATAAGTTATACACACGGCGTGTTATTGATTATTCGATCAGTTAGACGTACACTGAAATCCCGTGACCATGAGTAAAATGTACCCATGGATATCAGTCAGTAGTGACAGATAACTCCAAATCTAATAATTTCCACAAAACTATTTATCCTGATGACAGTCATATACTCAAAGGGTTGTAGTGTGAATTCGACATACGGAATCCGGTCATATCAAAAATGAAAGAGATATCACCGATGACATTAAATGATGATCACATCAAACAGCAAAATGACTGGTGTTGGAATCATGACTTACTGAATTTCGACTCAATAGACTAAGAGTATCATAGTTATCAAGAAATCAAAAGTTTCTAAGTGTGCGTTGTTAACAAGTTTAAAGTTAGCTGTCTAGTGCTTCCTAGTTCTCAGCAGTTTTTCAGTTGATATTAATGCATGAAAAAAAAACCTTAAAATTTACAACACTAGTAAATAAATGTACAAATGGTCAAAGTTACGAAAAATATCTACATGAGACGACAAAAAGTGTCATTCGATCTAACTGGATATAGGGTAAAGCCATGATATTTCGAAAATTAAGGAGTTATATTCAAAATGGTACTCCGTGCTTTTTTACATAACACCTCTCTTAGTAAACTAGAATATTTATTTTAAAAAATACTTTTATCTTATAGATCCCACGTACATTAACATCTTCCTTATCAGAATATCATGAACGATGCCAGTACAACAACAGGCTACCCGATTGTGCAATCAAATTTTATAGAACTGTTATTGATATTTAACAGTAAAGCAGGTGTGATAAAAATCATTACCTGTTCAACAGCACGACCGATCATATAAGATGGATCTAATAAATTTGGAAGTAACGAATGTATCGGGGTAAAATAATCATCGTTGAGTAACTTATCCATGAGACTATTTTTTAAACCCTTTAATTTAATTTCTGCAGCAGCTTCATGACTATGCTTACGAAGGCGTTCATGGCATTCCTGACGGTTGGCTGCGCCTTCAGACACCATTTTGACCAAAATACGTTCAACAACGAGGAAAGGAAGTTCAGAATTTAAATTAGCTTCCATCACCTGTTGAAAAATGAAAAGAATCAACTTGAACGAAGATATACACACATCACTTTTCTTGTCACAAGACAAAATGAGGTAGTCAAATATAAATATGTAAGCGTGATAAGTGCGCATTTGTGCATACAAACTATTGACAAAACCATATTGGTTGTTGAAATATACATTTAAGATTATGTTCAATGGAGAATATACACGTAATCAGACAACATAATACAACCACTTTCAACACTAATGCTATTTGATAAAACGCTAATTATATTTGTGTTTGATTTGAGGGTATGAACTGTTTTACAGAGTACGGAAATATTAAAATGTACCCTAAGTACAACAAATACTCTATCTACCTGTTAATTAACATGCGTTGTTAAGGAAAAGAATTGTAATCTAGAAGATAATTTGTTGCCACATTATTACTTCTATCGAACCTGATATATTCTGTATACTACGGTTATATATATATATATATATATATATATATATATATATATATATATATATATATATATATATATATATATATATGCTCCGGGGAGCATCATCGATGAACAAGGAGGGTCCGGTGCAAGGGCCGCATTCCCATAAATGAACAACATATGGAACTCAAAACAACTGTTAGCCAACATCAAACTCAGAATCTTCAATACGAACGTCAAGATAGTTCTGTTGTACGGAGCTGAAACTTGGTCAACTACTATAACCATCTTCAAAAAGTAATATTATTTATAAACAATTGTCTACGCAAGATAATCCAGATCCGTTGATCGGATACCGTCAACAACAACAACAACCTCCCCATAGCAGAGAACAAGGAAAATACGCTGCAGATGGATAGGACATACACTGCGGAAATCAACAAACTGCATCAAGATGCATGTCCGAAAATGGAATCCTGAACGAAAGGAAAGCAATGAAAAGAGGAAAACTAAGAAATACATTGCGTCGAGAACTGTAAACTGTCATCAAAAGAATGAATATCAACTGTGAAGGATTGTTCAAGACAGAGTTCGATGGAGAATCTTGGTGGGCAGTTCATGCTCCTCTTCGAGGAGTAACAGACCTAAGGAAGTAATATATACATTCTTTCATGGTTATTGACATTAAAACAAAGTTTTATTATCCCATCTTAACAGAACTTATGATTGTTTCCTTCAGCCTTTTATAAATAACATATAGTAATAGAGTCTACTTGATTGCCTTATAGTGGACTAAGTATGTGCTTCTTCTACGCTATCTTAAACTCTTTTTGTAGATTTGATGAATTTCTTGATGAAAAGTGTTTCAGGTAAAGACTGTTATTTTATTATTTCGATTGAATTTATGTTCGTAGGGCTATATTTTTCTCATTTGCTTCTGGAATTTGATTAAGAATAAACATTAACTAATTGCGTTCGAGTTTTGGGGGGCTTCTACTTCACTGAACGTATTGACTTAGTTTTAGCTTCATAACATGGATGTACTTTTAACTAACTATTTTAATAATATGATTAACTGTTTTGTTGAACAGCAATTAAATTAATTATCTTAATATCAGTTTAATGAGACAATACTACAGTGGAGAACAATAGTAAATTTCAAGTTTAATTAGTTTACTGATTAAAAAGAACTGTATACCATATGACTCTCGGAAATAATTTTTTTAAAAATTAATACAATTAAGATATTGAAATTACAAAGGCATCTATAGAGAATTGTTTCATAACGAATAAACAAATCGTCAAAGACTGGACATACCATTGGGTACACTATTAATCCTTCAGCTATGTTTTGTAGCAAAGTAAGACATGCATCGGCTGCAAGAAAAGCTTCTGGGAGAACAATCCTACGAATAGCTGAATCATCTAATGAACGTTCAAGCCACTGAACAGATGCTGTAGAAACCATGGAAGTCGATATATGCATTAGATAACGTGCTAAAGAACATGCTCTTTCTGAACGAATAGGATTACGTTTATATGGCATTGCACTTGAACCGATCTAGATTTGTACAATTAAACATGAAATAGATATAGTGAAACTATTAAAATGAATTACAGGAGTATGGACAAATTTTATAAATATATGAATGAAATATAATATACCATATCTACACAGTGGCTAGAGACGTTATCAGATATGGCTCAGAATAAAAGCCAGTGGTGATCCTGCTTTAATCTTCTTTTACTTTCTTCATAAAAAGTGGTTGCTTCTTCCTTAACTGAAAGATCGCTTCTGATTGTACGTTTCTGTTTCCCCCATTATTATTATTATTATTATTATTATTACACTACCTTACATTAATCTGTTCGTTATTGTTCTTTTTTTAAACGCTCCTTACTTTTCATTTTTTTCCCTTCTTCTCTTCGAATTCTCATTGTTTTGTGTGGCGCATATATATTTGGTGACCTCTTGTACCAATATTTATGTGTTCAAATAAAATAAAATAAAACAAAATACCATATCTACACAAAATGGTAAACAATTTAAATGTTATGAACTTAATAGTAGTAATAATATACATTTCAAGTGATGAAAAACGAACGCATGAACTATTGGCAAAGTGTACAAAAAGTAATATATAATATTATCATCACATGAATGAATGATGATTTGACTCATTTAAACTGAAATAAAGTTCATATTGGCGAAAAAAATAGATATACTCCCTAGTATTGTTTGCCAATATTATTAAAACAGACAATGAACTTAACAGTTTAACATAGAGCGTTACTATTGAATTTATATTAATCCTCGTATCGGTTATGGTACATAATCATTTCTTATACGTAAATTATCTGGCAATGAAAAAATCAAACCTTAAAATAATTTCTTTTCATATTAATCGATACATTCGATTTCGATAAGCCACTTGGCATAAAACAAAGCAAACATGTAGGCTACAAAATGTGAGCTAAATGAAGTGCTATGTGCCAGTGTAGATAAACTATTGAATAACGAAGCAGTTTCAGAGAGAAAACTGTAGTGTTTGTTATTTTGGAGTGTTAAAATTATACTAGTCTGAGCTGTCAGTAAATTAGAGTTGATCTGTAAATCGAAAATCGAATTATAACCGGTATTTCAGTTCATAACCGAAGGACAACAAAAAGCTTATTATAATGTTTACCGTTTGGTATGCCTTAGATAAAATACTTTACTCGATTAGTACCAAATCAGAGCACGAATAAAAAACGAAAATATATTCCAAAATTTCGAAAATCGAAAGATATAGTGGTAAGAACGTTAGAGTTCGTATAAAATGTACACAGAAATCTAGTATTATCCAAATCAGTCTAAAAGGGCTGATCAGTTGGAAATTAACCAATCAACATGCTCCGACTTGATCTTGACTCAAGTATTCATATATGCTGACAAAAGTACGAAAAACTAATAAGTGATTTTTCCGGAATTTCCAAAGGACAAATCATAATGAACTTGTAAGAAAATCAGTTATACTACTTCAGTTACATGAATTTTCTCAGTCAGTTGGTATTGTTAACTTACCTAATAGAGAGTTTAAAGTACAGTGTATGAGTCTGTACCATGTTTTGCTTTACGTCCCTTATCCTTGTGTAAGGTATTACTCCATAAGAATATTATAATTTTGCGTTAGAATAATTTCATTTGTTTGGTCGATGAGATAATATTGATGATTTAAGGGAGTTCATCATCGTTTCCGAAATCTTTAATGGGACTTTTTATTGAAACAAAAGATAATCAGATCTTCCTTAAGTGAAATCGACCCATAACTACTTTGATGGGTCTTACCACTGATTGTGTGCAAACAATGCCAAAAGAATGTACTGATAAAATTATTGTAACAGACAATAAGATTCGATTCTTCCGAAAAGCTTCAGGAATCACCTGTAAAACACAAGCCATTCTTATAACTCTCTCCAGAAATGCAAAATGAAGTGAGGTAAAGGCTAGATGAAACTATTCTATATTGGAAGAGCTCATTAGACTTAGTTCAATGAAAGTGATCAAAAGTTTCCTCACTACGTTATCAACAAATAGTTGAGAGTCAGCGAGGAACACTCTTATTGATCAAATCATAACATTCAGTTGAATCTGAAAACCCTATCAACAATATGTACGGAAGTGATAGGTGTGTAATATACCTGATACCTAAATTAATTTATAAAATGTTATAATGGAACAGTATAATGCAACTTAGTAGCCAAGTATGAATTTGTGTCCTTGGTGTTGAGCTAAAATTTTTGTTTGAAGGCGAACGATACCATACAGCTGTTAAAACGAAGTATGTGAAGCAAAGTTCAAACTTACAACTTGATCCCTTATTCATTAAGTCAGCAAATTTGCAAATGTGAAGATATTTTAACAGCTAACTGTTATCGTAATGATCTTAGATAAACTATTATATATATATATGATTGTGATGAGTAAACCTGAGACATTCAGGATGTGTTGTTGCTAGGATCGGGTGGAGTGTGAGGTCGTGTATTAATTCAGTATGATATTTCGTTCGGTATTAACACCTGTTTCTATAAAATTTATTGCGTCAGTTAGGTGTACCAGTACGTTTTGCATACATTCAGTGTGGGATTCGGTTATGGATAATCAATTCAAATAGACCTGTATATAAATGAATGTATTTGTAAAAGAAATGCTATATTTTGTTTGGATGGTGAAATAAAACCTCATCTTCTAACAGTGTCTTACTTTTCGTATAAAGACATCAATTTTGTTCGAATTAAAACCGTTCTTGATCATGCAGTCATTTAAGAGTATATTATGATAACTGAGATCTGTATCAGAATACAAGTATTACTAGGAGTAGTGCCAACAACGACACTGGAAAATTCATAACTCAGATCGCTTCTTATCATCAAATCATTTTTAAATATGTTTGGACATTAAGCAAATTATTAGAAAAAATTATTACTTGTTTGGTTTCAAAAGGTTCCTCAACTTCGTGAAAACTACTCAGCAGTCGTATATCGGTGCATATTTTATGAACAGTTGCACCTATATTCGACAACATGTTAGAGATCTCGCTGTCTACTTTTCTTGGATAAGTTTGACCAGTTACACACCAAGAACGCTGGAATCCAGACTTTTGGGTTAAGATTTCGTCCAATTTAATAACCTGTAAAATAGAATTCACTATAAATAGCCACTACATGACGCTAACATAATTCATATCTAGAACATCACAAAAAGGTTTAAAAGAATATATATATATATATATATATATATATATCAATTCAAGTGAAAAGGGGAAGGTGTTAGTATGGAGTAATGATGTAACTTAGTAAGATAGTTACGTTCCTTAATAATAAAAATCCAATTTAATGATGTAAATTGTGTCTGGATATTAAGTTACCGAATAATCAATATCTAGTATTACCCAATTCGATTTATTCAAATTCGAATATTGATTAGCATAGGCAAAAAATATATAACTCAGTATATTCGGACATGGTTTTTGATCTGTTTTGACACGATAAATCTTCATATATAGTCTTTCTGCATTTTCCTCGTGTTGAGCCATTTCAGTTTTTGTTTAGATATAACAAGATATATTCTAAAAACTTTAATCATTTTCATCCTGAAATTGGAGCATTTCCGAAACAGGCGCACATTATTACTTTGGTGCTGTAAGATTACGCCACTAGCTGGGCATTAATTATCGGGGAATATGAAAATGATTGCTCTACACAACTAAACTAAAGCATTTCGTACGATGGCCGTAAAATACATATTCGCCAAAAAAGAAGATAGGAACACTATAAAATATATGTAGTTAAATAACGCCAGACTTTATCTTTTGACAGCATCTTTACGATAACCCTGAAGAATGACAGTACCTCAAGAACTGTATTCATTGCTCTCTTGGGATCCCATAAGACGTTAGGTACGTAAGGCAGAATAATTTGGAGCTAGATCGGAATAATCCAGCGCCAAGTATCCGAATCCTTTCGAAATACAATATATTTTATTTGAACGAATAATCATGGCATAATAAAAAGACACAAGAGTAAGTAAGCTAACCTTTTGATGATCACCTTGAAATAGATCCATAAAAGATGCTTGAGTTCCTACTGCACCCTTAGCACCACGAAAACGAATTGTGTGGTTCTTCAACCTTTCTAGATTCTCTAAATCTAATAACAAATCTTGTATCCACATACATATTCTACGACCCATTGTAGTAGGTTGAGCGGGTTGCAAATGGGTGCGAGCGAGGCATATTAAACTCTTGTGCAACATAGCTTTTTTAGCTAACCGATCAATACATCTAGCAACCTTCGGTAAAAGTATATTTAAACCATCCTTAAGCATGATTAAATCGGCATTATCACCAACAAAACATGATGTTGCACCTGTATATATATTAAAACCAAACCAGACAATATCAATGATACACATAAATATGTGCGTGTTAATTAATTAAAACGTAGTTTGCTAAAAATAATGTTTATGTTTTGAAAAGGAGATTAAGAACTTAAATCTGCATATAATAGAAAAAAACCTCAGGGGATAATATTGTTCAGGTTTACGACTACCTGAAAACTCCGAGAGAAGAAACTGGACTTCAATATTTTGATGATTCAGAGCTATCGGCTAGTTTATTTCATTCACAAATGGATCCCATGAATAAACGAATAGAACTAAACACGTATGGTTCGATTACATGCAGTGAAACAGCGTTATTACTGACTAGATAACCTTTACATACTACAAATTTGTTCATCTTCATATAAGAGATTGAGAACCTTAAATCTAATTGACAATTATACATTCACCAAATAAAAAAGTGGTGTAGTGTATTATCCATTATGGAATTTTTTGAAATGAGTAACTACGTTATATTGTGTTCAGTAAACAGAAATATGGAACAGTACACAAAGAATTGCAATATTAGTGCATTCCATATGGGTTGTTACATTATTCTTATTCCTATTGTTATCAGTTAAACGAATAAACACTGGTACAAGGGGCACCAAATAGATATGCACCACATTTTATCATTCGATTTTTGTGAAGGCCGGAATATTTCCCGGGCGCTCAAACCGAGACAGGTGGTTTCCATAGGAAGTCACACCCCGAGCCTTTGACCTAGAGGTCCAGTCCATAAGACAGTGGAGCAACATTAGGAAGTGCAGTCTCATGGTAGCTGGTGATCAACAATAGTTTCACATACCATTTGTTTCCTTAGGATCCTGGAGCTCATGTCCACTATTGGTTTGGAATCAGGGTTTTTCAACTTCCCTGGGTGGACTCTCCGTGTCTACAAAACCGGTTAAAGCGCCGGACATTCACTTTTCGTCCTCTCGATCCCGTACACAAGACTTCCATTACGAGAAGGCAGTGAGAAAGACTTCTCTGACAGTGGCTGTATGCACGTGGCCATGTGAGAGCATTTCAGTCCTTTGAACACTTCATAGTAAAGTTAGATTAATTTTTGGCGTTAAGAGCTCCAAGAATAAATTTAAGAATTAAAAATCTGAAGGGTGAATCTAAACATCAATAACGCTACATTCTACAGAGACACTACTTACAGAAGCAATAACAATCATATGCGGTACTGGCTTAAAACTAATGTATTTTCATCGAATTATTTTTCCTATAACTAACTTTATTAGTGTCAGTTTTTATAGCATATTTATGGTAATGAGCTCGCAAGTAAGTTGTTAGGGATTACAATAATATTTGAAGACAAACAATATTACCTTTTATTCCAAGTGCATTTATATCTTAAAATTGTACAAACAGTTGAGCAGAAGTCTTTATAATATTTGATTATCACTACGTACTGCGTGCATGCAGATATTACCGGCCAGAAAGACAGGTCGAATAGTGTTTAGAAACAACCTTCCATTCTTATAACCTGAAATCCCGCTTGATACAGGCTTTCATTACTTTTCGAAAATGATGTTTATTCTTCAGGCCCTAAAATACAAATATTCTTACGAACGTCCTGTAGTAGTTAGATCCTCTTATTTTCTTGTGACTTATGAAGCTTGTTCAACACAACACAGTGGGATACTGTTATTAGGCTACCAACTGCTAGAGATATCCCTATCAAACGAACAGAAACGTGTGTACAGTAATACGACCATTAAACCAACTATATTTAACAAAAGGCGGGATATAATCACCGATTTGATCACGGTAACGAACTGAAAATTAGGAGATCGATTGCAATCTGGTTAACAGTTTGAAATCAAACTGCGAATGATTGTTAGACCTCAACAGAATTTAGTCTCCAGTACAGCCTAACGGTCAATTCTGATTACAAACAATTGGAACTCTACTAATACGAACGCAAACGAATGAAAATTTGAAAAAATCGGATGCCTGACATAACGATGCTCCTGCGTTAATAATGCATATGCTTTCAGGATAGCTTCATATTCCCAACAGAAGTCAAAAATTGGAATGGAGCAACTCTGTCTACATGGTAAAGTCCAGTGACTTTTGGATGCAAAGTTGGCAATCTAAAAATGATGACAACCAGTCAGATGTTAGTAAAAGTCATTGTGGGAGTATGGATCAGGACAATTTTATCAAGGTTATCCTTGAAAAAAAACGAACTAGTATGTGATTATAGAAGCTAGATAGCCTAAATTCTCCTTAGCAAAAACACATTACTACTTAAAAATATCAGTAGTAAACACGACTTGTAACTGGATTTGCACATAATTTTAGTTTAAGCTGTGTATATAATAAAGTCATGGATTACGTTTTTATTATGCACCCACCAATTGAGCTTACTTTACACAAAGTAGGCATGCCTTATGTCCCAGTATATGGTTTGAACTCTGATTATATTGCCAGGTTTTACTAAAAATGAAACTAACATGTTGTTTTATAAATCCTGCTTCGGTTTCGACACCCAGGCAGTATCGCAGCCCTCACAGAAATCAATGGTAACTACTGCTGGATTCATTGTTATTGTGTGGCGCATATATATTTGGCGCCCCCTTGTAACAATGTTTACGTGTTCAAATAGATAAAATATTTTCGGAACATCATAACCAATTAACTAAAAATCATATTTAACACGTAAACTTACCGAGGTGAATGATTGGTGCAGCTTTTGGACAAGCTAAAGCAAAAGTGTATACATGCGCCATCACGTCATGTCGCCGAGCCTTTTCTTCAGCTGCGGCAGTCCCGAAATCGACTAAATCCCTTTGACTTTTCATTTCATCAATCTGTTCGTCTAAATCAGTGTTGGAGAGTCATATAATAAAACAACAATCCTGTGAGCGGAGAAATGCATAATTTAGATACAAGACATAGGTATGAAAAATGCATCAAGAAGGGTAAAAGTTGACTGACTGACTAACTGAACTAGACAGGCTAGATAGCCCAAGCAATACAAGTACAATATGAGCATGGAATGTCACTTCACAAATAGATTAGGAAAAATACTAAACGACAAAGTGCTGAATAAGGTTTGAAGGAATTAAACCACACACTGTTGATCACTATATATATATAGTGCTGAACCTTGGTGAAATGGAGTATGTTGCTTCTTATAATCTTTAACCTTTCGCTTAACTGATATCCAATACGAGAAATTATCATATCTACAGGTAGCATGAAAAATAAGTGTGGCACATGTACTAGGCTTATCTACAATCACTATTAGGTGTAATTTTAAATATAATAATGAAGGATATGAAGACAGAAATTACTACATACTGTTTTATTGCTTAGTTTGATGCTGTAAATATTACATGAACTCAGGGAATAAAGTACTGCAGAAAACGATTTCGACTTGTGTGAACTACTACAGCTAATCTAGTTCCCGAATCAAGATGTGAGATTCCTTAACTACAGATACATTAGGTAAAAAATTAGCTTAGTCCATCATTGGCATTCGTAAACACATGAAGATTCCATCTTAGTTTATAGAAAATAAACACATCCAACTAGAGTCTGATGATAGTCTACCTGTGATATCGAATCCCAACTCTTTTTGTGTTTCTGCTAACCATATCCACAGTTGACGCCAGAGGATTACTTTTCGCTTTTCTCCGAAATTGCACACCATTTCACGGCTTGCATATCTCTTAGTAAGTGGATTTCTAAATCACTGAGATATGAAAACAAAGTAACATACCTGTACTCCTCGAATTCATCCATTTGAAGTATAAAACAGATTCTACAAAAAGGGATCAAATAGTTTCGATTTAGTGTAGGCAACGCAAATGGCTGTAAAAGCTATGGACGAAACTGGCAGTTTCTCAGTTGCTAATGCCGTATTAAGACGCGATATCTAAACTTCCACAGTGTTGAGACGTGGATGGTAATCCGTAGATTTGATCATTAGAACCAATTCTCTTTTACCATAAAAGGATTTATACCTTCAATATATGGCAGGGGCAGACTATAAGCGCAGTCATAGTTAGATTATTTGAAAGGCTCGTGAACCATTACTGACCTTTGAGTAGCACTCAACACACTACTTTTCAAATGATTAGTGGCATAACATGCAGTTTTTTGTAGATATAAAGCCACTAAAGCACCAGGACACTGAAGGATTTTATAGATTTCAAATTATTGTCAGAGGGTCTTTGTACCATTTAGCAATAACTGTCAGCTGACCATTACTCTAGTTGAGGGAAAAGTAGTAGGGATATGCAAAATATAGACACGCAAAGTGAATTTATGGTGCCCCGAAGTAATTAACAAGACCTATTACAATAAAAAAGTAATAGTTGTAGCGCTCAGACTGTAAATTTGATATTGTCTCTAGTACAGTTTTTAAACCTGAGAGTGAGACGCAATAAACATTTGTCCCATGGGATGACAAGGCATTGTAGGATCACATTAATAACTAAAAAGTTATAAAGCTCAAGCTCAAAGGGCAGTGAGGTTTTAAGGTGTGTTGAAACTATGCTAAAAGAGAAATGAAGTATCTTATACTGTAGAAACGGATGATCAACTCGAGCTCCCAATTTCGGGGAAAATTTTGGAGGAACCGCTATTGTAAATTTGGGGAAATGGCACCAAAACCCCAAAATTTCCCAAAAATTCTCCTTTAACTTTGGTGAAGGTCATTTGACTTTGTAGGTTTCCTCAAAATCCCCTTAAACTTGGGAGATTGGGAACATCATCGAAACCATATGAGCTTTCTCAGCACTTTAATGATGAAAAAACAGTATGGTATTAATATAAAAACTATAAAGTGCTGTACAACATCAAATACGGTTACTTCGAATTGTCTCACCGATCGATTAATGTGGACACTTGTAATGCCACTCACGACCCTTTAACCTTGAGTTTGGTCTGCGCGGTTAATTTGCAAGGCTCTCAGATTCAGATTCACATTTGTATGGTTAGGACAGAAGGCCCACGGCCTATGTTATTCCTTTTCTAGTATGCTTCTGTGAGTGTCCAGTCTTATCTTGAAATAGGAAAAACATTCAAAAATTGCAGCGAAATATTGTCCTGAGTCCTCTATAATATGTGAATTTTCCTCTTGGATGACTCATGGAAAGTGGCTTAAATTACTTTAGACAACAATGAATTCAAGGATTTAACTACTCGCAAAATCTAAAAAATACGCCCACAGCTTACTGTGCTTTATCGTGTTTTTATTTTCTCGGGCGTTGTCCCTATTGTGTGCATCGGATCATGCTCTAAACTATCTGCATTTAGGATTTGTGCATACAACCACAGTCCGAAACACACAGAACTGACTCTGTTTATATGGGTTTTTCTCAATTTTAAGAAGATTCACGAATGGTTTTGCAGTACTTTTAGCGATAACAATATTGCACAAATGATGCGTGTGCTACACAGACGCTCGTAGTCTTGAACTAGAACGTACGAGCTAATTTTAATGATGGAACAACTGGGTCCTGATATAAATGTTGTTACAGAAATGTGGCTTATTGTAGATGTAGACCGTTCTTTGAACACTGCGAGACAAATATGTATTAGAAGTGGTAAATTTTTAAATTAAAATGGAGGAAGCCTGATATTATGTACTAGTAAAATCGAGTGAATCGAAGACGCACAATTGAGGCGCATGTGAGGTAGCTTATTGGACAATTTAGTCCATATACGGAGTCGTGACCTCGTTAGGAACATACCATAGCGTACGTTGTCGTGCTGACAACTTTGCTAAAGTCATATCAGCGAGTGTAGTACGACTCATTGCCTCATCTCTAGAGATTTCAACGCTCTTCACACAAGTCATATAGAGCTTATAACTGCTTTAACGGCTCCTACTGACAACTACTATTCAATGCGCACCTGTACAATTCACCGCAAGAGCGGCAAATATTGACTTAGAACATAAACCATCATTGCTGAATTTAGTGTTTACACACCACTGTGACGATGTCACTGACAAACAGTACGTTATATTAGCAAAGCTGAATATGTATCACCAGGTCTACTCTATGAGTTTTGTTAACACTACTTCTTACAACAGCATCACTGCAATAGCAGCTATAGGACCAGCACACGTGACTTGAAAAGCCTTCACAACTGCCCATTAACCTCAGATCTAGTAAGTTACCGGGTCCTGAGAGGTTGCATCCAAGAATGTGATCATTCCTTGTGGACGATATTTCAGAACCACTCACAATGGTGCTATTCATGTCCCTTTCCGAAACTCATCTCCCTAGGTGTTGTACGGATGGTATTTTTGACCCTATATTTAGGCGTGAAAAAAGATCATTCGTGTTTATATAGTGGCCTGTCAGTTCAATCAGCATATTAGTCAAGCTACTTGAGGAAATAATTCGGGCAGAGTTACCAAGCCACACAGAATCATGCATTCTGTTAGCTAACCAATATAGGTTCCGAGTTAAGCATTAATCCTAAACTAACTAGCTGATTTCGAAAATGATTGGACAGGTGTAAATGGATACGGCCTGCCTGTCGATGTGATATTTATCGATTCTAGCAAAGTCTTCGATGAAATCTCTCACCTAGGGCACATGCAGAGTCTCTTGAAACTTGGAGTAACAAGTACTTTACAAGAGTGGATAAGAAACTCCATCTGTATTCGAAAATAAAGGGTGGGAGTGAATGGGACATTATATTGATGGGAGTTGAAAGTGGTGTATCTCAAAGCACTTAGGTCCCCTTTATTTTCCTTTCTACGTTAACGAAGTATGAGGATATCACAAGTATCTAGCGTGACGTCAAGTCGAGATTGACTACGAACACTGCGACAGAGAAACATATGCCAAATAAATCCCCCAGGAAGCCAAATATCAGAAGGCAGTTAATGGACCAAATCGGGATATATTCGCTGGTGATCTCGTGGTATCGAAAGGATTATGAGATCGTGCCAGGATACAAGCTTGGTTACAGAACGTAACCGAATTCGCGTGAGATCACAATCAAAGTGTTAGATTAATGGATGTTTTTAGCACAGTTAAACAAAGAGCATATTAAACCGTCACTGGTACAATTGGTTATAATAATAATTGTTTTCAACAAACCAATCGTGTTCTCGTGATAAAAGTGAGTCACTACAGGGGCCCCCCGCTAGAAGGGGTTTACACTTTCAACAAATAGCGGTTTAAATCGTGGGACTGATCGGCTGACGAGCGATTGTAGGACAGAAGAATTGGCGGAACAGGAAAGCGATCGTTGATCGTCGGGTTGCCAACGAAATTCTTTTTTCGGAGAACGGTACCAGGAGCGATGTGCTGTATTTGCTGCTTGAGTTGGCATACTACACCAGAGTAGTTTGTATCCAGAATCTGAAGATTGCGTTTTTAGGGGCCCGGACCAGAAAACGCTGCAGACATCGGACGAAACCACGTTGAACCGAAGGACCAGAAGCGACAATAACAACCAAGTTCGAGGCCAAGCGTACGCCAAGTATTCGAAACCAAAATATCGACTGAGTGCGTTGACAGGAGCGTGAGCGGCCAATCTAGCTTTCGCCAAAGTTGACTTAAGTCGACGGTACCAGACGGGGATGGTCGGAGGCGTGGGCTCAGGACACAGAAAAAAAATCAAAAAGAGGAGACTGTAGCACGCATGAAGTATAGGAATAGTCCTACACCGTGTCGGTTATTGACTGTGCGGCTAGTCGCTGAAGCGAACGGGCAACCGTACTCGGCGACCGAAACGTGAGACGGTAGTCTCGTTCGCATCGCGTGAGCCCGCAATCTCATTCGAAGTCAAGGGCGGCGTGGTCTGCTGATCTGGACGTGAGACTATCGTCTCGTCCGTAGACGGTGCAGATGACTCGTGCTGTTGACTGTGACATGAGAATGAGGTCTCAGGTGTATTTAGCGTGGGACCTGAAGATGGTTTGAGGGAGGATCCCGCTAGTGGGTTTGATGGGTCTAGCATTGAATCTCAAGTTGTCAGACAGGGCACTGTCATCGACGTGTGCTGGTTTGAGACGATCAATACTGACGATCTCGATGCGGCCATGTCGATCAACCTTGAAGGTCTTTTCGTGACGAGCGATCACGTGAAAAGAGTCTTCGTAAGGCTGTTGCAAAGGCTTGCGTACCAAATCTACTCGTATGAAAACATGTGAACAGGTAGATAACTCTCGAGGGAGAGCGACCTGTCGATGTTGTATTCGAGTTGACACCGGAGGCAGCGTTCGCATAAATGCAGACAGTCGTTGGACGTAGTCTGATTTACCGAAATCAGGTCTGCTCCGTGGTATGAAGAATTCCGCGGGCAGACGCAATGCCGTGCCGGATACAAGTTCAGCGGCAGAACATTGGATATCTGCCTTTAAGCTCGTTCTGATACCTAACAGAACGAGCGGTAAGGTTTCGTACCAGTTGTCGTTTCCATGTGCTCGTAGAGCACTTTTAAGCTGGCAATGGAACCATTCAACTTAACCATTTGGTGCTGGGTGGTAGACGGTAATGCGTATGCGTTCCGTACCAAGCAGCCAAGTCAGCGAGGAGAATAGTTAATAGGGGAAAATCTCTCGAATAAAGCGTGGAACATACCGTCACGCGAATAAAAGGTGCCAAGAATTCGGTACACGTACATGGGAGTCTATTATATTAATACTATTCTTATCGTTATCCGTCATGCCGAGTATATTATATATTGTAAGATTATATGAAAATATACGACAGACATGGATAGATAAATAATGGACTCACCAAACTGACTTCTTTGGGCGATTGAACCAGAGGTTGCGGCGTGTTCCAGAATTCGGCTCACCAGTTGTAGCGTGGTGTCGAGTCCCAGTTGACTATGAACACCACTACCAAGGAACGCGTGCCAGGATATCCATAAAATCCCCCGGAAAGCCAAATATCAGAAGGCAGTTAATGGACCAAATCGGGATATATTCGCTGGTGATCTCGTGGTATCGAAAGGATTATGAGATCGTGCCAGGATACAAGCTTGGTTACAGAACGTAACCGAATTCGCGTGAGATCACAATCAAAGTGTTAGATTAATGGATGTTTTTAGCACAGTTAAACAAAGAGCATATTAAACCGTCACTGGTACAATTGGTTATAATAATAATGAATTAGGTTGATGTTCCAAAGTTGGGGCTTTGGACTTAATCCGTCGATGATTGTGCTGATGCACATCAGACTCCGCGAAATTTATTTGTGTGCTATCGACGGCACATTGCTTTCTAATGTTCGGGAAGTAAACGTTTTAAGAGTCATAGTCATTTATGGCTTAAAAGCAACTGCACTTTACATTTTTT